CTGAAGGTGACCTCAGGCCAAAAGCCGGCAGGGAGCTGAGACCCTCAGTCCATCTGCCCACCAGGAAATGAACCCTGACAACAACCATATGAGCCTGGAAATGGATCCATCCCCAGTGGAGCCTTCCGATGAGCCCCCAGCCCTGGCTGGCACCCATGAGACCCTGAAGCAGAGGACCCAGTCAAGCCATGCCTGGATTCCCAACAAGCAGAAATTGTGAGGTAATACATGTGTGTTAAATGTGTGTTGTTTGTTTGAGATAATTTGTTACAAAGCAATAGATTACCAATACATTGGGCCTTAGAAACATTCATTCATGCATTCAACAAATATTAGCTTGCCAGGCACTAGTCGAGGTGTCCAGCATACATCAGTAAACAAAATAGAGTAAAAATCTTGCCCTTCTGAAGTGTGAATTCTAGTGTTTACATGTGTATGTGTGGGAGGGGAGAGCGAGGGTGAAACAGTTGACATAATGAATAAGTTACATAGTTATACAGTTACATAGTATGTTCCATGTAGCTACACAAGTATGCTGGGGAAGAAAGAGGGGTGAGGTGATAGGGAGTGAGCCCCGAGTTTGCAATTTTAAACTTCTTTTGAGAAAGGATTTTGAGAACTACTTCAGGGAGGAGGCCGCTTAAGCAGGTATCTCTGGGAGGAGTGCTTCAGGCAGAGGGTATAGCCAGTGCAAATATCCTGAGGCTCCATGTGCCTGGAGTGAGGGAGGAGCAGCAAGGAGGATGGGGGAGGGGAGGGGAGCTGACGTCAGAGGTGGGGGGTTCCTGTAGATCCCCTTTGGCTACTGTGAGGACTGCTTTGACTCTGAATATGATGGAGCTCTCTGAGGGGTTGAGCTGAGCAGTGATGTGGTCTGACTTATATTTTTTATTTTTTTGAAGACTTTTTACTTATTTGAGAGAGAGCGTGCGCATGAGCAGGGGGGAGGGGTAGAGGGAGAGGGAGAAGCAGACCCCCCGCTGAGCAGGGAGCCTGATGCGGGGCTCGATCCCAGGACCCCCGGATCATGATCTGAGCCAAAGGCATACGCTTAGCCCTTAACTGACTGAGCCACCCAGGCGCCCTCTGACTTAGATTTTTAAAAAGCTCATCCCCATCATTACATCCCATCACTGCTGGTGCCTTCCGGCCCCCCGCCCACCCATGCAAACTGGGGCAGTTTACACATCAGCCACACTGGCTGCCTTAATAAGCCAAGGGACTTGCCCTTATTTTTAAGTGGTTTTCTTGATCATTTTTCTTACTGATGCCTCCAGATCTTAGCCATCTGCTAAGGAGAGCTCAAGCCCCGTGTCTCCTACCCCCCCACCGCAGCCTCCAGCCCTGACATCAAATCCTCCCCCGCGCAACGCAGTAAGCACCTCTGTGCCCTGTTAGTGTTGGTGCTTGCTTTGCACACTAGATCATAAGCTTTGCCAGGCAGGTCCAAGTCTTACCTTTCTTTTACGTCTCCCCACTGAGCCTGAGGTACCGCTCTGTCAGGCTGGCTGGCACCTCGGCAGAGTTCTTTCTACCTCTCCCTGTGGCTTCTCTCAAAGCCCCTCTCCACCTCCAGTGACCACCCCCCACCTCCTGCAGCCTCCTCACTGCCTCCTGGCATGATGGCGCCTGCTGTCACCTGCATACTTCTATGAGCAATTATAGGTGGCTTTTTATTTCACGCACCTAAACATGGCCCTTGGGAAAAGAGTAACAAACTTTAGGGGAAAAAATGGAAGAAGAATAATCAGAATGGCTTGTTAACTACAAATGTTCTTTTTGTTTGGGAACCACCTGGTCCTCAACATTAGGATGGAAGCCAGGGGTGGAGGCAAAGGGAAGCAAGGAAGCATGGCCCCTCCAAGGCCCCACAACGAATTTCGTATTATTTTTCTTAAGGAGTCTCTCCCCACCCCCCAAATGTGTGAGCCTCAGGGCCACAAAAACTGGAGGGGGTTACTGATGGTCCTCCCAGCCCTTTGTCTCCCCTTCCCTCCCCTCCCTGGAGATAGCCCTGGGGGGAAGGGAGAAAGGAAGAAAGGAAAGTGAAAGGAAGAAAGCTTAACTGATCAAGGGGGTACAGGTGAGAAGACCAGAGCACAGCGGCCAGAGGGCAGGTAGGCAGGGCCTGGGTCTCCTGGGCCTTGTGACTTGTACTGGCTCTTGTGTGACCCCACACACCCAGGTCCTCTCTCCAGGTTCCAGAACCCCCGCAGAGAGCACTCTTGAGGGAGAGGCAGGTGGGGAAGCATGGCCATTGAGATCCCAAGAAGGCGAGGCACCCCGCCCCTGCCCTGGCCCCTGGTACCCACCAGGTCCCTCTCAGCCTTGATGGATCATCATCTTCAACAACCTCGGGAAGCCTGGCTCTCCAAGTTCTACCAGCCCGACGTTACCTGGAGGCTCTGACAACAAACTGATTTATAGACATTATGCAACCTTATATTTTGTCTTCTCTGTGCATTCTTCAGAAAGCAAACTTGGCATCTTAGATCTCATTCAAGTATTTGTGGAAACATTGGGCAGGTGTTTTGAAAATGTCTATGAGCTGAATTTAATTTTTTCCATGTCGACAAGGTTCATAATATTCTTGCTGAAATAGTGATGAGGGGAATGCTATTGGAGACCAACATGAATTTGTTACACAAATTGATGCACACAATAAACTGGAGAAATCTGAGGCTGGCTAGCAGGAGCTGCAGCCTATGCTGTATCAGCTGTGAAGAACAGGAATCTTCCTCAGGTCCCAAGAAATATTAACATTGGTGACATCAGTATAAAAGTGCCAAATCTGCCCACTTGTAAGTAAAAAATTAAAAAGGCCACACTCCCAGGTGAAATCCAGGGGCAAAAGTCATCTAAGTTTACCATGTAGTTCACCAAAAATAGAGGTGGAGAGTCTTAACTTTTGCTCTTGGATTTGAGCCAAGATACTGTATGGAGGTTGTATAAAATCAGTATGGAAGTTTAATGTCTCTTTTCTTGTTCAGTGATTTTGAAGAAACTGGGTAGTTCCAGTGTGATATTTCTCTTTCTTTTCTGAACTGCCTCCCTATGCCCACCTAAGGCAAACCTCTATGTATTGGCTACTACAGTATTTCAAAAAGTGTGTGAGACATATCTTTAAATGATGTACACTCCAGAATGTTGCTGTTTTGTATGGATCACAAGGGCAGCATTCCATAACTCCTTCTGTTGTCAAAATTGTTATTTAAAGAACTGAGTACCTATTGCATGAAAACATTACACTTTTTCTCTTAGTTTAAATAAACTTCAAGGTAACTAGAAACAAAAACAAAACAACAAAAACGCAAAAACATGGGGCTCCTGGGTGGCTCAGTCATTAAGTGTCTGCTTCGGCTCAGGTCATGATCCCAGGGTCCTGGAAAGGAGCCCCGCATCAGGCTCCCTGCTCTGCGGGAAGCCTGCTTCTCCCTCTCCCACTCCCCCTGCTTGTGTTCCCTCTCTCGCTGTGTCTCTCTCTGTCAAATAAATAAATAAAATCTTAAAAAAAAAAAACACGCAAAAACACAGACCAGGACTGGGACTAGGGGGAGGAGAGAGGCGAGGGACAGTTGGATGGCTTGGGGACAAGCACAGTCACACAGTCAGTTTAGAGTTGTACTGTCCCTGTCTTCAAATCCCAGGAACTGTTGAACAAGGGAACTTGCATTTCCATTTTGCACCGGGCCCTGCACATTCCGTAGCTGGTCTGGATCACTGAACTTTTGGGGTCCCCTCCAACTTTCCACCCTAGTCAGAGCCTCACTGGCCTCCCCACCCTCCCCCTCCCCCGCGCAGGCAGGCCTCGCTACAAGCTTCTCTCTGTAAAACGCCGTTCTGCAGACCCACATAGCAGTTCGCCTGTGGTCCACAGACGCCTGTTTGTGGAGCCCTGAGCACTTAGGAGGGGTGTCTTCCGAGCTGCTCAAGGCTGGACCTGGCCGAGGCACCCTGCAGCCGCAGGTTCCCATCCTGGCCCTGCTCCGAGCTATGTATAGACTCGGCACAGCGATCCCACTCGGTGGGAATGTTTCTGCAAAAATGAACAGCCAGCAGACAAATCCCCAGCCTCTGTATGGGGAAGGCTTGCCCTTCCCTCGACGTCTTGGACGGCAAGGACACCGCGGGACCTGTGGGCGCACCGCAACAGTCTTTGAAAGCCCACCCCGGAACGCAGACAACTCTCCGTGTCCCCCTAAGGGAGGCCACGTCGCCCGCATATAGGGCCTACGTGGGTCTCCTGGGGAACGGCTGTGCTGAAGGCAGAGCGCGGGAGCAGAGGCGAGCCTGCCGCGGTCCCCGGAGCCCTCGCCCGGGGGGCAGCGGGAGCACGTGCGCACCCGCCCGGAGAAAGCACACAAAGGGGCGCGCGCAGGGTGCGGGAAGACCGCGCGGACTGGCTCCCAGGGCAGCCGGGCGGCCGGGGCCCACCTGCCACAGGTCGCGCCCAGGGTGGCCCGCGCCTCCTGACGCGATGGTTCGGCCCGCCCTCCCCGCCGGCCTGCGGCGGATGGTTCCGCCCACCCGAGCCCGCTCCACAAACCCCTCCCGGCCCGAGAGCGAGCGGAGGGGGCGTGGTGCTCTCCGGCCACGCCTCTAGCTGCATAGTCATAAGGCGGCACTCTAGGCCGGCGGGGCCGGCCGCTCCTCGCTCCCCGGCGCGGGCGCGAGGCGGGGGCGGGGCCGGCCACCGCCCGGCTGTTTTGTATGGATCACAAGGGCAGCATTCCATAACTCCTTCTGTTGTCAAAATTGTTATTTAAAGAACTGAGTACCTATTGCATGAAAACATTACACTTTTTCTCTTAGTTTAAATAAACTTCAAGGTAACTAGAAACA